GGGGGACAGTGAAAAGCAAAACCAAAACAATAGGCCCCAAACGCTGGAAATGCAGGGTCTGGTTTACATTTATCCCTTTCTGTAACAAGCCTGTAAGCAGCTTCCTCAGAGGGTGTGTCTTCACTTCCAGCTGTCTTTTAAAAGCCACGTGTCAGCTAAACGCCTCGTTTACATCAAAAGAGAAACTAGGAGAAGCACCAAAAAAGAAATCCACCCCTTTCTGCTCTTCCTATAATAATATTTAATACAGAACTTGTATGGTTTTTCTACCCTAGTTCATGACTTCATACCTTTTAACTGGTCTTTAAACCAAGCAGTTTCGAGCTAGGGCAACAACAGTGGGTGAGGAGAGAATTCAGATAGTGTCTACAAACAAGAGAGCGTTCCAGAAAACCTCTCCTCTCCAGTACCTTGCGGATCTCAGACTACTGCTTATAAGTTTGTAGTGTCGGAGCTAGTTGTGCGAATGAGGCAACGCCTCTCTTGTTGGAGAGAAGGCGAGGGGGAGCGCCTATTTAAATACAGGGTAGTTTCTTCTTTCTATTGGCTGGCGATCTTGTCGATCATCAAGGAAGGCGGGGCGATCTGGGGGTTGGAGTGTGGTACCTGAGAGAGGCTTGCATCTGAGAGTCAATGCTGCGCGTAGTGGGGAACGGAAGAGGCGAGGAGAGAGACGCACTAGCAGACCGGGAAATATCCATGACTTTTCTTCCCACGACACAAGCCTCTACTCCCTTCTCTCCTACCCCTGTTATGTGAGGGGATTTCAGCCCAGGTCCTTCAGAACAGTACGGAAAACAAGAACCTTGCCGGCTTCAGTCGGGGACTTCATCAACTGAGTGCAGAGATTTCTTAGAGGGGAGCGACGGTGGTGGAAAGGGAATTTGCGAAAGGAAAAAAAAAAGTTTGCTCTTCTGGAGAAAGTTGACTCCCCTCTCCCAGTCTTTTTTTTTTTTTTTTTTTAAACAAGTCCCGAAGCTCAACCCAGAGTGCGCTGCGGTACCTCTGTTGCTGCCCCTTTTGATGTGGGGGCTCGCGTCCGGGATGCGGGGTGCTTCCCCGCTCTAGTGAGCAGTTCCTCGCCTCCAGACCGATCCCTTCGTCCATCCCGCCCCTCAAAGAGAGACTGACAGACGTCTAGGCAGAAAGGCAGACTCACCAGCGCGCACCCTGGAAGGCCAAACGGGGCAAACGCACGTGGATGTGTTTGTGTGTGTGTTCTGGGCTGGCAAGGGGGGCGAAGGTGACACCACAGTGGCCTGCAGAGGTCCGGATGAAGCCGGGCTCGGGTGCAACATTGGACTAGAAGCGGCATACCTGGAACTTGCAACAATCTCTTCGTACTTCCGCACAAGTTGTTTTTGGATCTTCCCCCTCGACCCTCACTCATTCTGCCCCTTCGTTTCTCCCCCACCCCTCCAACCTGGGCAACTGGGGGAGCCTAGGAGGACCATGCGAGATAAAGACTGAGGTCCAGGAAGGGGAAGAGAGCCGGTAGCAGAGGGGAGGGTGGAGGGGGGATAATCACAGAAAGTGTCACTAGCGGCTCCCCCCTCCTCCTCTTCCACTCCTTCTTCTTCTTCTTCCTCCTCCTCCTTCTCCTTGTCCTCCTCGTCCTCCTCGGTTCCATTTCCCAAGTGGGAGTCCAACGGGGGGCCAGCGGGAGCAGCACGGCAAGGGGGGCCCCGGGCGGGCAGGCGGGGGATGCCGCTGCTGGGGAGGAGAGTGCAGTGGCTATGCTGGTGGTGGGGGCTCCTGTGCGGCTGCTGCTGCCCCCCGCCAGTGCTGCCCCTCCTGCCCGCCGCGGCCGCAGCCGCCACTGGAGGGGCGCTGCTTGGGAACAGCAGCGGGAAGAGCAATAGCCCCGGGGAGCAGCAGCAACCGCTGCAGCAGCCGACACCGCAGCCGCCCTCCTCCTCCTCTTCTTTCCCCTCCTCTGGTTTCCTTTACCGGAGGCTCAAGACGCATGAGAAACGGGAGATGCAGAAGGAGATTTTGTCTGTGCTGGGGCTGCCCCACCGGCCCCGGCCTCTCCACGGATTACAGCAGCAGCAGCCGCCGCCACCTCTGCAGCCCGAGCATCGCGGGGCGCTGCCGTCCCCTCCGCCCCCACCACCGCCAGGGAGACTGAAGTCGGCTCCCCTCTTCATGCTGGATCTGTACAATGCCCTGTCCGCAGACGAGGGCGAAGAGAGGGAAGAGGAGGAGGAGAAGCAACAGCCTCCGCCCCAAGGAGGGGGCGACCGGAGGGGTTGGTCCCAGCAGCGGCTGCCCGCCAGCCGGCCCCTGGCTCCGAGCGCGGCGGCGCATGCCCTGCATCGCAAAAGTCTCCTCGCCCCGGGCCCTGGCAGCAGCGGTGGAGCGTCCCCGCTAGCCAGCGCTCAAGACAGCGCCTTTCTCAACGATGCTGACATGGTCATGAGCTTTGTGAACCTGGGTAAGGATCTCCATTCAGTAGATGCATAGATAACTGTCTTTCATTCCCGGCCCCCAGGTGACAGGGGAGTGACACTAAAGGGTGCTAGGCACCTAGGCTGATGAAGGGTGGGCTCTCAGGAAAAGACCACTGGACTGATAGCCACGATACATCGGCTCTACTCCCAGCTCTGCCACTAACTAGGGGTATGAATTGGACAAATCGCTTTTTCTCTCGGGGCTCCACTTTTCTCCTCTGTAAGATGAGGGGAGTTGGACTGATCGTCTCTAAGATCTCTCCAGTTCTAGTTTCTAAATCTGGACTCTCCATTACTGCCTTTAGAGCTTCTGTCTGGGGAACTGACTCAAGTCAGGTGTTTTGGCTAGACTGCCACCTGTACTTTCCTGACTGGCGGGGGTGTGCAAGTTCCCCGGAGGACAGGGAGCAGCCTTGTAGTTGTGTGCTTTTGCTTATAGGTTGCCGTGGGGCAGGGAAAGACATAGACTAACTTCTGGAGAGCCTTTTTCCTCTTCTCCTTCCCCTCCTCCTCCCCTTTTTCATTGATAGCTAAGTGGTTAGAAGTGCCAGGCCTTACTTAAAGGAGAGCATCTTGGTGCTTCTTTCATTCAGTAATTGTGAACCGGGTGGTCAGGTATCCCTGAGTGGCCAGGGTATATTCAGTGCCCTTCTCCTTTGAACATCAACCTTGTTCTTGGGGAGAGGTTAAACCTGCTCATAGGGAAATGCAAGACCTAGAGTTTACCAAGCTTGTAGAAAGAAAATTAGGGCAGCCTTTAACATCCAGATTATTTTATTGCCTTCTAAGCTAACCAGTGACTCAACTCTTTTTTAGTTAAATCTTCAAATTTGTAGAGCCTAACAAAAGAGTGGTGGGGATTTAGAAAGAAAGAAAAAAAGAATGGATACAAGTTGGGACCTTGTTGAAAACTGTTGGGGACACTTTCATAGAGTAACAGGAGTGAATGGGAGTTCTGCCATTAGGGAGAATTGTGTGGTAGCATTCATATATAATCCTGCATATTTTTAGCTCTGAAATCAATGTTTGGGGGATCCAGTTCATTCCTAAAGATTGAAAAGATTTAAAAAAAAGTTGGGATGAGGTTGAGGAGGGCTTCAGAAAGTTTCCTCATCTATAAATGAAGATGAGATTAAGTTTTTTTTTTCCTGAATGAATATTCCTAATATATGCCATTGACTCATTCTTGTCTTTTCCCCTCCTTTCCCTGTGTGGAAAGTGCTACTTTGTCATTGTGGTTTGGTACAAAGTCATTTCAAGGGAAAATGTGGTTGTTTTCAGTGACTCCAGAGTCCAGTGTTCACACATTTAAAAAAAAATTGCTAGAATTGTTGTCTTCTAGGTTCCAAGACATGGTAGGTAGAATAAATAATGCAGGGAATAGATGCTTTCCTCAAATGCCACCCAGAAAAGCCATCCAAAAACAAAACAAAACAAAACCTAGTCACTTTAAGGACATTGCTGACTTGCAATACTCCCCAAGTGAAATAGCTAGTTCTTCACAAGTGAATCTAAAAGTGATTCAAAGACATGACTTCAGGTTGATGCTGCTGCTGCTGCTGTTTTTTGAGGCAGGAGGAGAGGGTAGAACCAGAGATGGCAAGGTATGGTTTCTTAATAGCTTACAAAACAAAATCTCATAGCAGGTGCAGCCTCAGAGCCTGCCAACCCTGTCAATGTGTAATACTTCAGGGTCTGCCTTGCAACTTTTGTATCCAGGGATTTTGATTGGGCAGGAATTTTCACAAATGATGGCAGCCAAAACCAGGGTTGGACTACCTCCATGAAGCAGGCTGGACAAATTCTCATGATTCCAGGCCACTAAGCAATGGTTCCAGGGGCATCAGGCCAATGCTGTTCCTTGTCCTGCCTCCCCTGCTTCCTCTCCCTTACTTAACACCCCCTTCCACCCTGGGCACATCCAAAAAGTACAAGTTAATCCACAGGTCACTGGGAAAAATGTCCAGTTGCTTTTTGGGGTTAATTCCATTCCTAGCTGGAATGGAGAAAGTCCTAAATTCCCTCTCTGTCAATAATGATATTAATAAAACCAGGATATCTGAGGATATGTGGTCATTAGGATGTCCTAGTAATGTTCAACCAAGGGCTATGTAGAAACTGCCTTATCTAAGGAAAAACTGCTCTCTATCCATAACAGTGCCTCAGTGCATAGAGTGCTGGAATTGGAAACAGGAAAACTTGGAGTCCAATGCTATTTGCTACAAATTCAGACTAGGCTAGCCCTAGGCAAGATTTTGAAGTTGATAAACCTCTTTATTTTTATCTTGTTTTATGATTTCCTACAACCTCTTTGCTCAGGTTCAGTCACAAACACTTATTTAGTATATCTGCTGGCCAAGGCCCTGTGCTAGGTACTAGGAATACATAACAGAAAGAAGCAGTAGAAACAGACTACTCTTAAAATACTTTACATTCTGCTGGGATTACACCATGTGCACAGATAGGTAAAGACAAGATAATTTGAGGAGGGAAGAAAGAACTCTAACAATCAGGTATATGTATAAAGCTATCACAAAGGAGGCTACCTTCTTGTTTTTTAAGGACCTATCCAATGTCCCATTTCCACACTGGTGAGGTTGTAATTGATATCTGCTAAGGTTTACAAATTGGGGAAATATTTGTAATTTCAGAGAGGACTTTTAAAAATTCAGAGCAATGAGTCTCAATCTTTGATGGTAGCATTAAAGATATGATAACAGGTTTATAGGGCATAGGAAGGAGATACTAAGGTAGGGAGTTCTGACCAGAACTCTTCAAATCAAGGCAGTAGGCATTCCTTTTATTCAACACACATAGAATTGCTTGTAGGTAAGTATAATGCAGATCCCTAATTACTATTCTAGTTTTCAACCCATGCTTCAGAAATCAATCTTAACTTAGGAATGATGATAAGGGCCTCCAATAAAGTCTTACTTGTGGCACAGAGGTGACCTATACTTTGTTATACCTGCAGAGCCCTAGGTGGGCAAATCCTATGAAGCTGGAAAAAATTTCTAGTAAGAACCTGGTTTTAAAAAGTGTGTTTATTAAGTTCAAAGAAAGGCTCATCCCCAGAGGATTTGAGCACAAAGTAGTATTTTTTTTTCAGTTATACCAACCTATGAAGATCAAATGATATGCGTGGTGGTAGGGACCCCAACACAGATAAAGTCATAGATGCTTGAAGTACTGAAAAGAGATTTTATCCTAATAGATAAAGTAGTTAACTATGGTCCTCATGGACATAAAGAAGGGAGGTTCCAGTGGGAAGAATGCTGGATTGGAAGTCAAAGGGACTTAGTTTAAATCCCAGCTCTACCTCCTTATTACCTATGGGAGTATAAGCAAATTACGTCACCTTCCCAAGCTTCAGTTTCCTCATCTTTAACACAGAAGATTGGATTAGATGATCTCTGAGGTCCCTTCAAGCCTAAATCTATGATCCTTTGACCTTAGTATAGGAAAGGTGCCTCAGTGCATAGAGTGCTGGAATTGGAAACAGGAAAACTTGGAGTCCAATGCATTTCAGATACCAGCTGTGTAGCCCCAAGCAAGTCAGCCTTAGTTTCCTCACCTGTAAAATAGAAACAATACTAGTGCCTACCTCCTGGGGTTATTGTGAAGAGCAAATGAGATAACTTCTAAAGTGCTCTGAAACCTTTAAAATGTTATATAGACGCTAGCTGTTATTTGTTATTATGATGATTCTTATTACTTGTATTTTCAGAATAAGGATTTGGGGAGCATTTCCCTGATTTCCTAATGTGTCAGTGGTATGTTGACAGCTGTAGTTAAATGACTCATCTTTCATCAAAACCACAGAAAGATCAGGTCCTTGCTTTTGGCACATCTTTAGAACTCATTGGGTTAAACATTTTATTAAGAGTCGGTCAACAAGGACTTATTAAATATATATTATGTGCCTGGCACTGGAGGAGAAGCACAAAGGAAAGTGGTTACATGGTTGTAGACATGCATCTTATGTAAAACAGAGAATTTACTCATGAAATACATTTAAGTAACACTGAGGCCTTTCATCTAGGGTGACCATCAGGAAGTATCAATCAACAAGATAAACTTTCTCTCACATCTCTACTACCGGTCATTAAAGCCAGCTCATTGTTATTTACGTTGATTGTTTCAAATTCTTCATGAATGAACAGAATGAACATTTGTAATGATTCAAGTACTTAGAGCAACTTGGCCCCCTAATGTTGTCTGCTGTTGCTACTGCTGTGAGTCTGTAGAAGGTGTATACCTATGCGTGCATGCATGTACGTGAGCATGAATTCAATCAGTACTATTTTCCATTAGTTTTCTGATGCTAAGAATCTTTCTGGCGGTCTGAATAACCTGCCTTCCATTCTTTGGTTTTCTAGAATGTACTTCTTAACAGGGAAAACAGGGTATCTTTTGCCCTCTGTGGTTTCAGTTGACCTTATCAAAATATGGGCAAATACCAGTCTAGAGCTATAGTAAAATGTTTACTATTTCATACACTGATTTAATTTTTCTTTTTATAAAATACATGGAATTTGCTATTTTTACTGTGTGAAAGTTTCAAAGTAAATGAAGAAATTCAGGGCCTTGTAACTTCAGGATCATTCGCAATGCCTGATACATGCTTAGTAGATGCTTGTTGCTTGATATATGCTTATAGTATACTGTTATATGTCAGTTAAGATTTTCATATATAATCAATCATTTTTACTTATTATTACCTATATTTCTTAGTTTATAATATAATATATGCTTTCTTCAATTTATTTTAAAACACCTACATTTTTATTAGTATGAATACTCTCTCACTCATGGAGATGGCAACCTCCATGATGATTTAATGAGTTGTTGTGGACAAAAAAAAAATGTCACTCTATGGCTTATTTCCTGGTAATGAGCCTATCCAAACCATGCTAAACTAGTCTTTTGACAATTGTTTATTCCAAGTCTCAGTAGCATAGTTCCTCACAAGAGCAGGTGCTAT